TATGTGCTTCTAGTCAAAAGCTTAGCTACTTGTAGGAATCTTGAAAGTGCACAATTGGCTGGAGTCAGCCGTGTAAGACAGACTCTTCAATATATGGTCAGTCCTTGTCAATGAAATTCACTATGGAGCATCTTTAATCCGGTTTTCAAAAATGTTTCAACATTTGCACACATTAAAAACAGAATCATTTCTGGTAGGAATAAACAGAAAGATCACAGTACCTTGAGGCAAGATCTCCAAGCAGCCTGAAAAAATAAAATGGGCTAAAATAAAACATGATCTTACTGTATTGCAATAATAAGCATTCCATATTGATTTAACAAAGTCATTTCAATGTAACCCTGGAATGAAAAAAGGGGTCACATTTATCTGTCTAGCTACTAATCTGTCTATCTTTATCAACAACAACAAAAACACGTATTTCATATAAACTACAAGTCAGGCACACCAGAATGAATGTTTGTCATGATCCAAAAGACAGACCATTTGTGTCCACATTTTTGACTGGTACCAGTCTCATTACATAAACAAATGTAATGTTTAAAATTTCTAACATTACCACACATATAATTATTTATACTGAATTACATTTTTGAGTTAATTTATTGTACATGGGAAGTGAACAACTAAACAAACAATATTTGTGTATAATAAAAATCTTTCATTACACTGAAAATAGAGATAAACCTAGAATCTTTTCTTTTAATAAAACAATTGAATCCAATATTGGTCATTTTGACCCTGTTAATACATTTGTGAACGGTCCTTGCCTTTGCTAAACCCATGGCTACAATGCCGGAAAGTTGAGGATGTTTATAGCATGTTGCTATGTAGTTGCTAGGTTTTTTTTTTTTTTTGCCATACATCTGGTCCACCAAATGCTTAGAAAAATGATACCTCAACTCTCCTCAATAAGTTGCACAATTTGAGGTTTCATGTCTTTAGCACAAATGCCAACACATTCTCACTCACAACTTGTCACATATTGACACTTGGTCAGGTGACTTTTTAACAAACAGGGTACCACTTTAGCATAAATTTTTCAGTGTGCAGGCCAGGGTAAACCTTTGCGTCAATATTCTGATGCGAAGAACATGAGAATTTTATCGTCATGATAAAATTATATAATGGCTAATAATTTTGCCATTATAACATATATGTTGGACAGGGGCGTTTCCTCCGGGGAGGCATGAGAGGCAGTGCCTCCTCAAAAAATTGGATGAGAAACAAATTAATAGTACAAAAATAAAACAATGCAATATTACAAAATATAACATTAAATAAATTGCTAGTTTTTCTAAAGAAACATTGTCCAACAGCGACACCAGCAGGTAAAGTTATAGTGGGAGTCTACGTCTCTCTCGCCTCCCCTGAACCCATTGAGTTTTAACAGGTCATGTGAGAGGAGGCAATGCCTCCATCATGATTTGATTGGATATGACTGGTTATGTTCGGCTGTGATTGGTTCGTGTGATTAATCCCGACTTTTGTGTCCGTGTGCATTCTGCATTCGCGAATCAGTCTGAATGAACAATTTAATGGTGTTAATGGGAAAACTAATTTTACAAAATGGGGAGACTAATTAAAAAAAGTAAGTTAACAACCCACTGTTACGTCAAAATAAGACAAATTGAAATGGCCTGAAAACATGATCTGTGGGAGTTTTTAGTGAGTAAACAGCTTGGTGAAAGTTAAGGTAAATCTTTGTGTCTGTGACCAATATTCGCCGAGCTTTGCTGACTGATGAGCTGAAAAATTCAAAAATAGTTCAAACTTAACTATTAAAAAGAATATGAACACAAGTTCACATAAAATATATTGTTTAAACTGTTACTGTCTTGAGTTATTATTTTGGAATAAATGTTTTAAAATGCTTTAAAACACTAACTTGATAAGATTCATACTTGGATTTAATAAATAGAATATTGTTTAAATTTTTAATGTAAAAAATACAATATAAAATAGAATTGAATTGTTTTTTGTTTGTTTTTCTCTTTTTATGATAGTGTAAGTAATGTTTATTTAACCAAAAAAATGTGACTAGGACATGAATTTACATTTGATAAAAATAAAAAAAACTGTGTGGACTTTGCCTCCTCATTTCAGAACACCACCGCACACCACTGATGTTGGACCATGATTTTCAATTTAAACAGCCACAGCAATTTTATTTACATTAGATTACACTATTTAGACATTTATGAGCACATAACCCAACCCCTGACCATAAACCCAAACACTTATCAATCTAAAACACAGGATATAACAGGCAGATACAACTACAGTCACAATTATTCCAAGTCTTCCGACTGCAAACGATTGATTTGTGAGAGGAGACGCGATCACTGTCTCCATCATCTGCCATACAGCACATTCAAAAAGTTAAATGCCGTTGGCTCTTTGTGTGTCTTGTGACCAACTCAAACCAACCAAACCAACCAGCCAAAGTTCGGACCTCGTTAACAGAGCGGGATCATTTTCAGCAATTAAAACCTTGTGTTTCATTTTGTTTTTCAGAAGACTTGAAAGGCAACACGAGTTGTTTATGATACTTTTACACTGATTTTTGGTCAGTTTTTGCAGTAAATACTTGTGACTGTACTTTTATTTTCCTGTTATGCGTTTTATGATGTTGAGACATGGGTAGGTTTAGGGTAGGGGTGGGGTTAGGTGCTCAAAATATCTATGAAAGTGTAAATCTAGATAACATAATTTCTGTTTTTACAAATGCATGAAAATCATTAAATGTGTCTTGATCTGATGCATAAGGCAAACAACTGAAAGCAATGGAGGACCCTGCATATCAAAACGTTGTGCTAAAAGGGTACCCTGTGCGTTACAAAGTGATGCCAAGGGGTCCTGACCAGTGTGTGACAAGTTGGAAGTCAGAATGTGTTGCAAATGCCTATGTGCTATGAGGAGTAGGACATTTGTTTAATCTTATTGTAAAGTTAAAGGGATAGTTCATCCAAAAATGAAAATTTTATGTTTATCTGCTTACCCCCAGGGCATCCAAGATGTAGGCGACTTTGTTTCTTCAGTAGAACACATATGATGATTTTTAACTTTAACCGTTGCAGTCTATCAGTCGTATAATGCATGGCAATGGTAACAAAATCTATGAGAGTAAAAAAAACATGCACAGACAAATCCAAATTAAACCCTGCGTCTCGTGACGACACATTGATGTCCTAAGACATGAAACGATCGGTTTGTGCCAGAAACCGAACAGTATTTATATAATATTTTACCTCTAATACACCACTATGTCCAACTGTCTTTGGGCGCGCACACAGCTTCCGGTGTGTGAGGTGTGTTCGCACTCTGGTGTAGTTTACGTTAATGGGTGTGTTGATATTCAGCCGAAGAGCAATCAACCATAACTTCAGGCGAGCAGGCTCAGCAGTTGGGAATACGTGGAAAGTCACCACTCCCGAATGAGTTCGCGCAAGAGAACGTAATCTTTTAGTTTTAAGTCGGTTTGAACAATCCGGACAAGCGAAAGTAAGTACCACTTTGATTAGCCGCCGTACCTACAATGATTGTGCACTGTGTAAACAATGAGTGACGTATACGCGCGAGAGATCACTTCCAGCGCTTGCGTAAACTACGCCAGAGCGCGTACACACCTCACGCACCAGATGCTGTGCGAGCGCCCAAAGACAGTTGGACATAGTGGTGTATTAGAGGTAAAACAAATTATATAAATACTGTTCAGTTTCTGGCACAAACCAATCATTTCATGTCTTAGGACATCAATGTGTCGTCACAAGCCGCAGGGTTTAATTTGGATTTGTCTGTGCATGTTTTTTTTACTCTCATAGATTTTGTTACCATTGCCATGCATTATACGCTGATAGACTGCAACGGCTGGACTTAAAAATCATCATATGTGTTCTACTGAAGAAACAAAGTCACCTACATTTTGGATGCCCTGGGGCTAAGCAGATAAACATCAAATTTTCATTTTTGGATGAACTATCCCTTTAATTCCAGCATCACACGCCACACAGGATGATCAAAATGCAAACGTACCCTCCGCGAGACACCACCAGCTTCACTTTCACCTTATAAGAAACAATGATGCCCAGAATTTCCTTATTGGCCCCCTCTCTTAACCTTTTTAGAAACAATGCCATGGAACGGTGAATTAATAAATGTTACAAGAAACACAATCCACTTTTAAATGAGGGATTGTACTTACAATGTACTTGAGGCTAAATTTGTGTCTTCATGTTTGAGTTTGCCATCCAGAGCCAAGCCACGTTTCTCTCGGTTATTCACGAGGTAAGGCGTGAGAGTGTATACTTTACAAAATGTCGCACTGGGGGCCACGATATCACTAGAACAGGAACAAAGCAGAGAGTAATTAATCGGATGTAAAGTTGTGTTCTCATACGGTAGCTGAGTGTTCAGTTTGCAGAGGACTTACTCTGATTCCTCTGTCGCCACTGGACACTTGTACTGGGCAGTGTTGAAGAGGCAGATATCAGCATATTGACGCACTGCAATAATAGAAATAAGTGTTATTGTTGCTTAACTACACACTAGTGTAAATACAAAGTCTGTCCACTATGAATAACTGAATGTGAACCTGAAATCTTGATTTTTTTTACTGTCTTGTTTGTGTTGTTCGTGACATGGACGTTGACACTGATTGGTTCACCATGATAGTAAATCTGAAAGACATTAAACAGTTAATTAAGTTAATATCAGCATCATTCAAACAACAAGAGTTAATGGCAGCATAGGTCAAAAAAATATCGGTATGTGTTTCTGAAGAAAATCTGATATTGAAATTATATTATAGTCTAAACTCTAAAAAATTAGGCCTAAATATTTAGGATTTCTGTATTTGAATACAAAATCTATTTGAATTATACCATTTAAACATGAACAAACTCATGTGATGCATATTTGTCAGTCATAACATATAAAACAGTACTAATGAACTGAATGTGTTTTGAATACACAACAATCAGGTTTCATACATTTATCATCAATAAATCCAATTTCTTTCAATCTCATATATATATATATATATATATATATATATACACATACATATGTATGTGTATATATATTTTTTTTTTTTCTCAGAAAACTGAATATTGCTTGTTTCAAAGCTAGCCATATTTTAACCCCGTTCGTGATTTATGCTGGTTCTAACTGATTCTGAAAATGTGATTATTTCAATAAAATAAAATGCAAATAGTTACATTTTTTTCTATTTATGAATATAGTTTTAGGATTTTAATAATTTCTTACCTGTTTAAAGTGTAAAAAAAAAAATGCATCACATTAAGTTTATTACTTAACGTTAAAATTATGTAATCCATATGGATGAAAAGGCCTAACTAATTTTTGAGTGATTCTGTTTTGTTCGGGGAAATACAGATGTAATGTCTGTATATACACATACAGACATTACATTTAATAACATGCCAAAAGTCCATTAAGACATGCTGAGTCTAAAACTATAATTAAATAAATCTAATTAATTTTCTGATTCCTGATTTTGGGAATGCATTTTAGCATTATACATTCATGCCAAATGTCTTTCTAGAATTGTTTTATTATTATCTTTTGTTTAAAGCTTCAATAATGTCTGCGTGAGTTTTTGAGTTTTCGTAAGGTCATCAGAACATATTACAAAATGAAGACAAAATTAAAAAAAAAAAAGCATGTTTTATTATTATTATTATTATTATCTACTACTACTATAACATTGTGCCTGCAGGATTTCAGATGTAATACCCTGGTTCCATCACTAGATGTACTCGTTGTCATTGGATTAACTTGGATTAGTAATTAGCTGAACTCTCTCTCTGTCTATGTTGTCTTTCCTCAATGGTCAGATATCTTATCCAGACCAGCAGAATAACCAGACATCCCTACCTCTTTGTCAAGCGAGGCCTCCAGGTGTAAAGGCTTGTCTGACATGAGAAACTGCCTTGTGGTTTCAGCCATTGGCTGTGGGCCCGGCTTCTCTGGGGCATACTGCACTTTTCTGATGACAAGACGCACTGAATTCCTGTAGAATGGCAGTTAATGGGACATACATATTATCATTTGTGACATTTACTGACTTTTATGAAATCTATGTTGTGAGTGGCTGTCAGGGCAATGGAATGTGTTGCTAAGGTGTTGTGAGTGGTTTTCAAGCATGTTGCTTTGAATTGATTATAACAGTAATAGCAAACAGTAACAAACTAATAATAAATAAATGATCATGTATTACTGTGTGCTAGACAGACTACTACCAGGGCAGTCGTGGCCTAATGGTTAGAGAGTCAGACTTGTAACCCAAAGGTTCGAGTCTCAGTACCAGCAGGGATTGTAGGTGGGGGGAGTGAATGTACAGCGCTCTCTTCCACCTTCAATACCATGACTGAGACCCTTGAGCAAGTCGCCGAACCCAATGCCGCAGCAAAAATGGCTGCCCATTGCTCCAGGTGTGTGTTCACTACGCACTGCTGTGTGTGTGCACTTGGATGGGTTAAATGCAGAGCACAAATTCCGCGTATGGGACACTTTCTCAAATGTATTCAATCGGAAATCATTTGGTCTCATCTGTCTCCCATATTTTCATATTTGCTTTGTCAGTTATTCAGTTGGGTGCCATTGTGAAAGGCTGTACCTTTTGTGGATTTTTTCTTCAACATTTTCTGCACAGAAAGCTTTCACTTCAAAGTCAACCCCGCAGGCCTTTGCAGATAGGAATAAGAAACTGTTACTCTGGAGTGTGAAACTCTGCAAAGCCCCTTTACTTATCTATCAAAACCAACATTATTTGAAGGAAAATGTACCTTTCCTGTATCCTCTGGCCCTGGTTGTAACGTGACAGAACAGGGTAAATTCGGCGTAATCTGTGAGAAAATGTTCGACATTTAAATTTGAGGTTGAAATCGTAGCACAGATATGAGGAAGGGACCAAATTTAATCAGAACTGAATCCAATATGACATAGTTGGCATTATGTCAAGAAAATGAGAAAGAAGATTCACCTCGAAGGTGAAGGGGTAAGCATGTTCTCCAAGTTTCTTTATCAGTCGCTCTTGTAGACGTGTCAAGCTCTTTTTCTCTTCAGGCACAGGAGGAAATGCCTGGATGTTGGCCACAAAGAGGTCTTTGCGAAACGTCAAGCCAAGAACGTCCAAGTCCTCTCTTCCATAGCGGAAGGCACACGTCAGTGTCACAAAAACTGAGGAAGAATAAAAACAAACTTCTCAGTAACTGTATGGTTAACGGATTTACAGTCAACACTGTACTCCCTATTCCTAATAAAACGATTATTGGCATACAGTAAGTGTACAGAGCTATAAAATGAATGTGGAAAGCATAGCTGAGATATTAGCCTTGAAGATAGATGTAATGAGTGAGGTTTGAGTTCATATTGAGATCTCTGATTTATGATTGCTGGTATCTTTCAAATCTGAGCACAGATCTGAATTTTTAATTCTGAGATCTAGTCTGAAACATATGAGAAAAATCTGTGAGCCAGAAGTGTGGCACTTTCAAAAAAAAAAAAAACTCACCTTTTCTCTCTTTTAAGTACTCTGGATCAATTAAAACCACACCATCTGAAAGAGCAAAAAATAATAATTGTAAACTTTATACCTGCTTAGCTGTGAAATGAATGTTATATTACTACTATAACTTTTAATCCAAAACATCAAACTCTAAAAAATAAAATGATAAAATGTGTTTTCTTTAATGAATCATTTTGCAGACAATAAATGTGGTAACACATTACAGTATCTGTGTTAGACAAGTTTAATAATTTACATTAGTAAATTAGTCATTTTAATCAGTTATATTTGCAAGCAGGGTAACACTTGTCCGTGTTACACATGTTACATGTACTCACTATTATAATAACAATTAATTATACATAATTACATACAAGTAACCATAATCCAAACCCTAACCATATAATAAGTACATGTAGTTAATTAATATTACTAGTACTTATATGTATAATTACACTGTAACAAGGACACCTTAAAATAGTGTAACCGCAAGCAACTTTGTTGCGCAATTACAAAGTACACATACATATTTATGACTTATTAATTACAATGAAATTACAATGTAACATGATCATGTACATCAGTGTTAATTTTGACAACAAATTTTGATTTAGTTTTAGTCATAGTCTTTTGACTAAAATGTCATTTAGTTTTAGTCATATTTTAGTCATCTGAAATGTTTTTAGTTTTTGTCTAGTTTTAGTCGACTAAATCTACAGTAAATTTAGTCGGCTAAAATCTAGTGGGTTTAGTTACAGTGCATTTATTAAGCATTTCTCTAAAATTTCCAAACTCATTATATACAGTGGGTACGGAAATAGTGAAAATAATGTTCATAATGAAATACCAATGGTTATATAGGCTAATTATGCATTCTCTATAGCAACTTGTTTACCATATTCTTCATTCTTTCAAGCAGACATATTTATTTCTATAAATAAATTTAGATTAATCTTTAGGGCTACTAACGTTTTTCAGTCAAGAGCAGTGCGTGATTTTCTGTCTTTCTTTTGTTGCTTGATTAACATCAATGACTCGGACAATAGCAACTAAATTAGGCTGCTATCCCTTTAAAACCGAATGCACGGATGCAATGGATGCAACAGATACAGATACATGTTCTTCCTACTGTTTATGTTCACTTAAGACGTAATCAACTGTGTTTACGTGAATACTCATCAAAACGGACAATTCAACATCATTTTGTGTGTAATTCTTCGTTCATGCGACGCAAAAGAGTACTCACGCGCTGTGAGAGGCGCTTTCTGTGTGTGTGTATGCTTCAGTGTCTGCGCTCAGAAAACCGGACCGAATTGAGTTCTCTCTTGCGTCGTCAGATTCATCCATATGTCTGCTCTTCTCTTATTCCCACATATTGACATTTTTGAACGTTTTATGCGACGTGCAGCAAGTGTATTTTAGCTTATGTCCCGCCGGTTCATATGTACGCATCTAGCCTTCGAACCACGCAGCAGATTCGTTCTGAATGAATCTCTTCCCAAATCGTCCCTCCCTAACATTTTCGTCTTGTTTTTATCCGTTGACGAAAATGTCAATAGATTTACATTATAGTTTTTGTCATTCAAAAAGAGTTTAAGTTCGTTACTGTCTCGTTGTCGTCGGTGAAAAAAATGTCGTTGACGAAAATTATTCATCAACGAAATGAACACTGATGTACATAAAGTGCAATTATAAGTTCAGATTGTGTCTCTTATTGCCTACCCACAGGCTCCACAAGATCCACGTGGTCAACGAAATCCCTCTTACCAAGGTACACAGTTAACTGAAAAGGCAATCATAAAATTATAGTATTAGCACAACACATAAAACAATTCAAGAACGGAACAATTTGAACTGAGCTAAAATGTCCATTTGTGCCATTGTGCATGTGAAGTTTTATATTTACTTTTTATTAGCCCCTGCAAAATTAATGTTTTTATGAAGTTGCGAGCACTAATTTGTCTTTTTAGTGCATTTTCCATCAAAACCCATTACTGAATTGTCCCATATGATTATATGTTTCTGTAATGGTTGTGTTGTGCCGATCCTTAGTAAAGCCTTTCCCAGCTTTGCAGAATGCTGGGTGCTGAGTCACATGCCCCTCTTTCATATTCGCCCCACGCCCGCTTCCTGCTCAAGGACTGTCGCGGCGCACCACAGGTCTCCCTGCTAATGATACATATAGACTTGTGGCTATATGCTAACCGCACAACCATTGTGAGCGGGGACCCATCCGTCTGGCTAACCGTGTCACAAGCATCAAATCAGATTTTGGAACAAGAGGTACTTTGCTGCTCAATATTTGTGGTCATTCAGTCATAAACATTTCATAACAGGCAGTGCTGCACTCACTGACAGAAAACCTTTGCAGTATCAGAATCAAAACAACTGACTGTAACATTATTGTTAGACATGAAGAAGATGAATGTAATATTACCTTCCCGTTTGGACTTGCCTTCTTGAACACCCTGTGGAAAAAGAAGAGTAACATAAGATGGTAATATACACTTTGCTAAGATGCAGCTATTTAAATGAGCTGTAAGCAATTTGTTGCCATGCAAAAAATGTTCCTATCACCTGACAGACATCACTGAAACAGGAAAACAGTGAGAAATCACACTTGTCTCTGTGACAGCCTTAGGCTCTGTAAGTCAATGGCAGTTGCTTGGCTGGTGCAGAACCTCTAAAGCATGCAATCTGAATGCTCTTTACTTTAAGTGCACTCATTTCTGCTTTTCAAGGTTTTGTATGTGAGGTTGCCATATCATCAGAAATTTTGAGTATTGAGTCATTATATCAGTAAATCAGCCAAGCCCTCACAGCCAGAGGAGAACGTGCCCCCGTGGTGTTGACTGGTTTCTCGTTTTAGTTTTTCGTTCCTTGCCACGGTTGCCTTTGGCTTGTATATTAGGTAACTTAAGATTGTATGTGCTATGCACAATGTGTTATGTCATTACATGACTTTCAATTAACTCCTCAAACTGCTTAGGGGTCGGCAAAATGATCAATATTTTAACACTGTGTGCGTGATTTAACCATGACAATGATACACATCACCAAATAGTAATTAGACTTGTTAATACACCAAACTGTTATTAATTTGAATAAAACCTTACAGGTTTACCTCAATATGACCACATTATGAATTAATAACTTCAACCTACATCTACTACAGTACAAGTACTTTACCCACATACATACAGTATATTGCTGCACTGTAAAAGAAAATTGTGTGAAATTACAGTATATTCCAGGTTAATAATTGCATGACTTTCACGGTCATTTCTCAGTGGGACTTCTCTTGCATCTAACTGCACTCTCAGAAATGTGTTGTAAACAAACAGCATCATACTGTGTTTCTACAGTGCAACGATTAATCAGCATCTTATTTCATATTCATAACTTCAATGGATCTTTCACAATAGTGAAGCATCTGCTGAGAAACGACTTTGGAAGATGTGACATTAATACTCGACATACAAAACACAACAATGGTAACACTCAACAAATAAAAAATACACTTACGACATAAACCAACATTACAAAATAAACAAACAACACAAACTGCTAAAGGTGAGCCAAAAACAAGTTCAATAGCACAAATAAAACCAACAAGAATTAAAAAACTCTACAGCATTATCTCTTCATGCTGCATTGCATGCTGGCAAAACATTACTGTAGAAACACAGTATGCTGCTGTTTACAAGAAATTTCTGAAAGTGCAGTTAGATACAAGAGAAGTCCTACTGTGAAAGTAATGCAATTATTAACCTGGAATATACCGTAATTTCACACTAAAATTTTGAATAGTGTATAAGTATATCCAACTTTATATGCATACATACAGTACGCTCGCATAAAGCCACTAAACAGCATACATCTCAACTGCTTGATTGTTTATATTGTCAAAATGTAAAATATATGTAAACCCAGCAATCTGCTAAATGCGACTATATGGCATGAAGACATATTAAGAAATGATAAGAAATGATATATTAATATCACGATTTCCTGTATAGCTGCCTTGAATTAATGGGCATTGTGAAAAGTGCTATACAAATAAAACTGACTTGAAATTGAAATTGACTTGATATTTCTGATTTGATAAAACAGCCAAACAGCTTCAAAAAGGCCACCTTATCTGCAATCTTTACTATGAAATCATTAGCAGTTTTTCTGACTCAAGGCACAGGTATAGAAGTAGACGTATAGAAGTTTATTTTTATAGTAATTTGCTCTTTTATTTTTCTCTCACTCTGTAGAAAGACTGGCTGCCTCAGTGGCACAGAAATAATAACAATCTCTCAGCTCCTCATCCACAGTTCAGCCATTCCTTTCAGATGCAGCACCCTACAGCAAAACAAGAATAAATGAAGTCGTAAATCAGCCTTGCTGCTGATGTGATGGCCTAATTTTTTAAAGGAACGCTAGGGTGTTTTATCTGCTTGCATGTGGCCTAATCAAAACTAAATTGGATTTTATTTTTCTTTCTGGACAAAGATTAAGGGTACCACTCTTTGTAAACAACAACAAAAGAAATACATTTTCATTTCTTAACATTTTTAAAATGGATAAAATTGGACTAGCATTGGCTTTGTTCAGAATGAAATACTACACTGCAATATTTCCAGCATATATATAATATGTGATATATATATAATAATTTTGATTTTTTTTTCAGGTTGCTTTCTTTTATTTTAAATTGTAGTCAAAACTCTGTAAAATTATCTCTAAATTAACTACCCGGCTGTTATTTTAAGTATTATGACATTGATGACAAATTACAGTAATTCACATTTTTGTATACAGAAAAAATTACTGTATTTTTCTACAGTATTTTTTCTGTTTTATTAAATTACAAACAAATGTATATAAAATTACCAAAAAAAATCTGTAATTAATACAATAACAAAACCATTAGATGATAAAACAGACAAAAGACTGGCAGCAATAGCCAACTGGCAAACAAAAACCATAAAATTTTAATTTAAATAAGCTGAAAACTGTGTTTTTCAGGTCATTTCAAACACCTTCGCTGTAAAATAATGAAACGTCACATGACTGGTGTCACATTTTGCCTATGGCGAGGAGCAAGGAACGAGGAGACTAGGAGTTCACGAAAACAATAGGTTTAATCCAAACATCCACGGGAATACACGGGGCAGACAGGAGCATATGAAACACATGGGTAAACGTTCAACCTCCGACAAAAACCAACTGAAAGGACTAGGTTTTTTAAACACTGGGTGATTGGGAAAACACAGGTGCATGGAATAACTAATTAACGGGGACACAGAACACATGTGGAGGGAAAACACAACACAATGAGTCCAGGGGCGTGACAACTGGCAGCAACAGAACATTAAACACTAACAGATTTCTCTAGATCTCAGCATCTTCGCTTGTTACAAACCAATCAGACTTGATTTATTTCATACAAAACAACTTATATAAACAACTTATGGATAGTCTAATCAACCATATTGCATTTTGTGATATGGTCCCTTGTCAGTGTCATAAACTGTGAGTAGAAGAGAATACTCTCAAAACAGTGTTAATATTGTTTCAAAAGCTTCTGCAAGCCAAACAACTCTTGCTCGAGAAAGACCTTTAGGTCATTGCTAAAGTTAGGCAGGTGAAGCACAAAAGCTTCAGCATTACCCTGTCTTTTCAGTACCATTTCTAGTGATAGCCTACAGGCATGTTTGTTCTAGTTAAAGGGCTTCAATTAAATTACCCAGCTTTCCTCTCTGTTAAGTCCTAATGCTGCTGTAAGTTAGCCGTGGTGTCTCCACAAATCCCCTGGGCACCAGCATATCCTCTCAACTTCACATCCTTATTAGAGGAGTGTCCTCATTAATGGACATTAGGCTTTCAGAGGAAGCATTTTGGTGCAATAAAGACGTGTGTAATGATGGAGAGCTTGGCAGTTAGCAAAAAGCTGCTTACTATTAAAAGCAAGCGAGTGTGACTCATTAGCGTCTTCAAAAATACACGTTTGTGGGATTTTTATGGCTTCTCCATTAGAGACAACATTTGAAGTGGTTTCAAAACAAAGCTGTAATAAACCACAATGTTAGCTTCATTATATTAACTCCAAGGGGGCCTCGTATAAAACAAACTAAGCAAAGCTAAAAAAAAATTCTAACCTGGTCATGATGTAATACATAAGAATATGTGTAGTTATGGAAAGCTCTAAAAAAAAAAATTCAGGTAGAAAATGTAAGTTTAAAAAATAAATTAATAAAAATCGCACTCTTTACATGATTTTACATGACTTTTCCAGATGTTCGTGATTTACTGAACTAAAAATAAAATAAGACAGTGGCAGTGGTCAAACTGAAATATTGTTGTTGTAGAGTAGACTACAGTAAATAATTTGTGGTAGAAGGGAAGTGGTCAGTTTTTACAATCTCTCAGTGTTGTAACAAGCTTACTATTACTGTTGTTGTAAATAGCGGGGTCCAAAAGATTGAGACCACTTACTGAGACCCTTTATTTGCTTCTTTTCTTTTCACATTCATAAAACTTTGTGTTTATTTCCAGGTCTACATTTGTAGTAGTCTCTGTGTAATGAAAGACAAAAAATGTCTACTGTTATTATCCCTATTGGCAATGTTAATATTCTTGGCTCCTGATAAATTGCTGTTTTTTTCCTCATTTGTAAGTCAGATAATAGCATCTGATGAATGAATAAATGTAAATCAGTGACTGTCAGTTTAAGTTACCATAGTACAGCTGGCACTATCAAAAATTAAATAGAGAAATGTACCCTGAAAGCACATTGGCATTCAGTGAAAGAGACCTCTCTTTTAAAATATAGTTTGCATGGCAATGAATGATGCCTTTTACCATTTAGTGCCATGGCTCCAATTAAATTGTTTTGTAATGCAAATTACCATATTAGGGCACTGGCTTTATGTTGCCCAGGTCAGTGGGACAGCAAGCCACTTAGAGCTGGGTACTGTCTACTGTATGTTTCCCAAAGCACTATGTAGAATAGTAGCATGTAAGTAGCACTTAATTCCTATGGCATATTTGCCAGAATCAACAGTAAGTAACACAGTAATTTACTGTTTGTACACAACATTTTTTTTTGAAGAATTTGACAAACAAAATTCCAATCTGTGTGTTGCATTTGTGGATTCCTTTTGAAACATAAGGGATTCAGTCACTAGCAGGAATGTTAGTCGAGAGCCAAAAAGCCATGCCTTACTACCAAATGTCTTTTGGAAAAGAGCTGATTGGCAGCTCCAGCGCTCCTGTACATGCCATGCATATACAAACACCTGGGAAGAGTAGAAACCGTTCAGCTGGCCTCTCTGGAATCTCCAGAGTCAAACTGTCTTCATCTAAATGAATGGCTCATACAGTGGAGCCTCTTATTACACTCCCTTAGCTCAGGCACTGACAGCACAATAATGACAGACAGTGATTTAGATCATTTACAGCAATTACAGTGATAAATATTCAGCCTTTTCACACTAAGCTTTCCTGGGAGAAATACTGAGGAAATGATCAATAGGAAAAAGCGAGGCTCTTGAGTAACAAAATATTCATGAAGAGGAAAGGGCAGGATGTCAGATAA